TTCTTTAACTGAAGTTCCCAGATGACTTAGTGGTAAAGAATCTGCCTGACAGTGCAGGAGATGCAGGTTCGATCCCTGAGTCAGGAAGATTGCCTGGAAGGAGGAAATGGCAACCCACTCCAGTATTCTTGCCTGGGAAATCCCATGGACAGAGGAGCCTGGTGGGCTACAGTCTGTGGGGTCGCAAAGAGTTGGATACAACTGAGCACAACAGCACACAACAGCAGGAATAAATACAAAAGAAAGACACACCAGATGGACTCTAGGATGAGAGGGAGTCAGTGGGAAGATCACTTCAAATGGATATTGTGCTAAAAATCCTTAGCCACAAATAAGAACAACTGCCCTCAGGCAAAGTCAGGTGGTGGGGACCCAGTGTATTATTTTAGTCTACACGCAAGGGCTGTGTTGATATAATTCATGTAGCTGGGAACCAAGGACTTGATGGAAGCCTCTGATGAACAGAGAAATTGGTCTTATTATAGATAATCAAGACTCTCACTATGGCTTTTATGGGAGTGTGAGATAATTCCATTGAGATACTTAAAGCTGAAAATTCTGCTTATTTCTTTCGGAATAAAAGGGAGATTATGAAACACTCTGTGTGGTGAAATAGACATGATGAGTAAGAAATGCTTCAGTAAAAGTGAAAAGCCAGTTTGGACAGAGAAAAATGTATGAACCTAAGTATGACTTGGAAAGGGAAAAGATGAATGTAGCCAACCACTAAATGCTTTTCACTAGTAGCTGTTACCTCCTGAACCAACAGAATGGCAAAGCCACAAAGTTTTAACATTGAAGGTCCTGCTTTCTGTCCTTTGTTACAAGGACACCTGAAAATGAGTTTGAAAATGGCAAATCTAAAGGTGGAAAATAACATCTGGTATTCCTTTTCTTAAAAAACAAAACAAAACAAGCACTGTAAAACAAAAGTAAATTTTATAACATTTTCAAGAATAGCATTCGGATGTAATATTTTCTGATTCCTTGACTACTTTAGAATGATTTTCTTTCTTTTTTTTTAAACCCATAAGAGAGAATCAGTTATGGAACCAAAGCCTTGCAACACAATTTTCCTCTTAAAATCTCAAAGGTGCCAGTTCCTCATCTAGCATTTAGTATAGTGTGAGAGATACGTAAGGCAGGTCTGCTTTTGTTCCTGATTTTTGTAGGGTTTTTTTTAATTTCTTTTTTTTTATGCTTTCACCATTTCATTCAGATATATGTAACTGCAATTCTCATTTAATTGGTTTTACCTGAAAATTGGTAAGTCTTATCAACTGGCTTATTTCATTGATTTTCTACTTTATAAATGATTTTAAAATTGTATTTTAGCACTATTTCCTTTTTAAAAAGTAATTATATTATGATAAAAATGCTTAGCATCATATCTACCATAAAATATGTTAAGAATACAATGTATCATTGTTGACAGCAGGCACAGTGTTGAATAGCAGATCTCTAGCGCTTATTCATCTGAAATGTCACATGTGTTGATTAATAATTCTTTCCAGCTCACATTATATCTTCTCTGAAAATTCTGTTTCCTTCTCAGGAATGCCATAATCTTTAGGTAGGTTGACTTGCCTTCCTCTGACTTTCGCATCTCACCGACTCTAACAGTTTTCATGTCTGTGTCTCTTTCCTCTTCCACCTGGAATGCCAACCAGTGGACTGCAAGGAGATCCAACCAGTCCATCCTTAAGAAAATCAGTCCTGAATATTCATTGGAAGGACTGATGCTGAAGCTGAAACTCCAATACTTTGGGCACCTGATGCGAAGAACTGACTCATTTGAAAAGACCCTGATGCTGGGAGAGATTGAGGGCAGGAGGAGAAAGGGAGAACAGTGGATGAGATGGTTGGATGGCATCACCAACTCAATGGACATGAGTCTGAGTAAACTCCGGGAGTTGGTGATGGACAGGGAGGCCTGGCCTGCTGCAGTCCATGGGGTTAGAAAGAGTTGGACATGACTGAGCGACTGACCTCAACTGAATTGAACTGTATTCTATTTTATGTGGTGAGGGATAGAGTGGTTTGTGTGTGCATGTGTGTATGTACTTAGCACCACAACTCACCACATTAGTGGAAGAAATACCTCTGGCTGTTCAAGGATCTGTTTCCTGGGACTAAAAGTAACCATCCTTGTGTCCTCAGGTGAGTTGTTTTCTCAAAATGAGGTGATTTTAACAACACAATTATTAATTAATAATGTATTAGTTGCCTATTTTATATATAAAAGTGTGTATATGTCAATCATTCTCCCAGTTTATTCCTTCCTCCCCTTTCCCCCTTAGTAACCGAGAGGTTGTTTTCTATATCTGTAATTGTATTTCTGTTTTGTAAATAAGTTTATTTGCACCATTTTTTTGATTCCCCATATGGCAATGTCATATGATATTTGTCTTTTGCTGTCTGACTTCCTTCACTCAGTATGACAATCTTTAGATCCATCCGTGGTCCATTATATGGCTACATCGCAATTCATTTTTCCATTCATCCATTGATGGACATTTTTATATTTCCACTTTTTGGTGATTGTGAATAGTGATGCTAAGAGCATTCATGTACAAGTTTTGTTTTAATAAATAAAATATTATTCAAATACATAAAATAAAAATAAGTATTTCCTAAACTTATTGAGGAACCATCAAACTTTTTCTACAATAGCTGCACCATTTTACTTTCCCATCAGCAATGTATGAAGGTTCTGATTTCTCCACACTGTTACTAATACTGTCTACTTTCCAATATATTATTCTTGCTACTTTTTTTTTTTAATGACTATCCTAGGGCAAGTGAAGTGGTATCTCTCTGAGTCTTTGATTGCATTTCCCAAATGATTAATGATGTTGAGCATCTTTTCATGTGCTTGTTGGCCATTTGTATTTCTTCTCTAGAGAAATGTCTAAGTCCTGTGCCCAATTTTTAATTGGGTTGTTTGACTAATTATTATTTAATTGTATCAAGTTTTTTTAATATATAAAAATGTTTGATGCTGTTTTTCAGTCTCTCAGTCATGTCTGACTCTTTGCGACCCCATAGACTGCAGCACGCCAGGCTCCCCTATCCTTCACCATCTCCCAGAGCTTGCTCAAACTCATGTTCATTGTGTCGGTTATGCCATCCAACCATCTCATAATGGCATAAAAATGTTTAGCTGTTATCAAATGTTTCAAACCCGTGTATCTTTCATCTCTCCTTATACTGTTTTCTTCTATTTATAAGTGTAATACACATCAGAATAATTATCTTCTGTGTTGGAACAAAATGAACTACAGTTTCTTTCAACCCTGTAATTATAGAAACCAATGAACCTATGACCAGATTAATAAGACCATTCAGTGAACTTGATTTTCTACTTTAGCTTCCTTGAGAATGGCACACCTGACTCTCCAGACTGTTTATGCAGTTCTTCCTTAGTGCTTGCATTCCAAGTCTGTGACTGACTTGAAAATAGATTAAAGTGTAGGAGAAAATATGGGTGATAAAACCTGATACTCTTAATTTATTTCTCACCCAAATGAGCTGATTTTCCAACATAGTTCATGAAATTTCCAACTGTACAGAAAGCAGTTTCCAAACTATAATTTCACAACTATTTGGGCTTTAATGCTAGAAAAAATATGCCATACACCTTTACCTTAAATGTTCTCTGCATCAGGTAAGTATAAATAGCGAGGATGAATACAAATTATAAAGCATGCTTTTTATTGTGTCATCTACGAAGGTGACTTTTTAAAAAATGACCCATACATTTGGGTATATGCACTTCAGTGTTTTCATTGAACAATAATCCTTGTCTCTTATAGAGAGATCAATTTAGAATTGTAATTATTCATTGGAATCCTTGAACTTTTAGGATGTATTGTTTCGGTATGGAAGCCTGTTTTCTCAGGGTTAAATCAATCTGTTTATACATTTAAAATTTCAGTTATTTTTAATTAGCAGATAATTGCTTTACAAAATTGTGTTGGCTTCTGCAATACATCAACATGAGTCAGCCATAGGTAAGCATATGTCCCCTCCCTCTTGAACTTCCCTCCTACCTCCCACCCCATCCCACTCCTCTCGGTTGGTAATTTTTATGACAGGTGATTTTAGACATAGGTTCAGAGCAATGAGCCATAAAAAAGGAGTTGCAAATTTTAATATTTATTATTTACTGTTTGAATCACACTTAGACACTGTCTTAATATCTATTTTATAATTACATAGTGCTTTGTGAACCTTTTTGTTGGCACAGAGAGGTAAAGTTCCCAAGTAACTTCCCTTTAAGCCCTATTTTAGTAGGTGCTTTTACAAAGTACAGACAAGCCAGTGAATAAGGGTATCCTTTGTTAGGACCTACTTCCTTCGCTTAATCTTTCTAGAACTGGAATCTCTGAACTGAATGTCTGCCCCCCATTCCCATGGGTGCCCACCCTGCTCACCTATGCCCTTACTCACCTCCAGAAGTATGGGGCTGCCACCTGACATCTCTTTGTCAAAATCCATTTTCTCGGTAAGACTCGTGGTCAAGCATGTTTGCTGCAAATTGGTTAAACAGGGGCAGGAGACCACCTAAGTGGTCTTGTAGCTATTATGCAGCTGGGAGTGTGTCCATGTGTCCAACTGTGGTAGATGCTGGCCAGTCAGAAGCTACTAGAAGGCAGGGACCATGTCTTTGCGTGTCTCTGTCCCCATCACCTGGCCTAGCACCAGGTACTAAGTAACCATCACCCCAGTGGTTCTTCTGCCACTGAAGCCTCTACGTGCCAAGTTATTGGTCAAGTCCTGAATACGATGAAGCCTATTTTTAGGCAGAAAAGAGTATCCAGTAACTTCTGCCCACAGCCTTAGTCAGTAGACCAGATAAATGTGCTCATTCCTCATTAGTGTCCCCAAACCTATAAATGTCCCATTTTTGTGACCTGTCCTCTCCATTTCACTTGGCTCTTTCATCAGATTTACTTTTCTGCACAGCAGGGCGGGGAGACCTGAGGGAACTTTAAAACATGAAGGTCCTCTTTCTGTTCACTGTTCTCTTCTGTTTGGTCCAAATGAACTCAGGTAAATGTCTCCTGGTCAGGGTAGAAAGGTGCTCCCAACCAGTAGGGATAAGCTGGGAGAGGCTGGGGAAGGCTGTGCAGGAGTTGCACTGATGTGTGTGTCCCTGGTGGGGATGGGCGGGAGGTGTCTGTGTGTTGGTGGTGGGTGCAGGCGGATCCCTCTGGGGCTCAGCTCTGGACCATTTTGATCTTCCCTACAAATAGGTTTTTAGAGGCTAAATATGAGTTTTCAGGGTCATAAAACAAGTCAAAGAGGCATCTTTGCTCCAATACAAATAGAAAAGATTCATCACAGTCTGAGAAAAGTTTGCAGAAAGAAATTACAATCGCCCAAATGTCAAAGCTGGAAAGGAATGAATCTTCTATGGAAGCCCCACACTTTACAGGGGGAAGAAACAACACTCCCAAGAAAGGCTGCTGTCCTGCAGAGAAATTTACAGTCACGGTCACAGCAGCAGTTCCTAGTGACGATAGCATTCCTCCAGCTTCCACAGAAAGCCTGTTTTACAGAGGAAATCTGAGGCACAAGCTGTTACATGAGTTATCTATGGAGAAATCATTAGCTACTGGGAGAAGTGAGGCCAGACCTGATCTCCAGATTTCTGGGCTGTGGTTCTTTGACCTTCATTAGGTATGTCACCCATCGCTTCATTGGGCTCCTGTCCCAACCATGGTAGAACTGAGATAGCATAGGCTCAGAGAGTGTACCCTGTTTGGAGATGAGATATTGTGCAAGGTTGCTTTTTTAAATCATGCAAGGCCAACACTGTGAGTGTTTTGGGTTTTGAATAATTTTATCTATTTATTTATTTTGGGGTGCACTGAGTTTTCATCACTGCACACAGGCTCTTCTCTAGTTGCAGCGAGCAGGGGCTACTTTTCATTGCAGTGTGCAGGCTTTTCATTGCTATGGTTTCTCTTCTTGGGGAGCATGGGCTCCAGGGCGCTCGGGCTTCAGTAGTTGCGGCCTTTGGGCTCAGTAATTGTGGCTTCCAGGCTCTAGAGCACAGGCTCAATAGTTGTGGCACATGGGCCTAGCTGCTTCCTAGAATATGGGATCTTCCTGGATCAGGGATCAAACCCGTGTCTTCTGCATTGGAAGGTGGCTTCTTTACCACTGAGCCACCAGCAAAGCTTGTTTTTTTTTTTTTTTTTTTTGAGTCAAGATAGATTGACATTTGGAGATCTGATATAAGACCTTTCTTTCAATCATCTCATTCCCAAATAGAAAATGCTGTTTTTTAAAAAATTGAGATATATTCAACATACAATATTAGTTTCAGGTGTACAGCATAATGATTCCATATTTGTACAGATTGCAAAATAATCAGCCTAAGTCCATTCGACATCCATTACCACATGTAGTTCCTTTTTTTTTTCTTGTGACAAATAGAAAATGTTTTCCTTATGGGAACATTGGGTAGTTCTGCTTGACCTATCGATCCACAAGTCATGGTTAGGAGAGCTCAGATTTCTTTTCTTTATTTCATTTTAGGCTGTAAAACTGAAAATTAGGCCACAGCCTGAGGATCAGAACACTTTCCTATTTTCCTAAAGACCAAGACTCATCCCTCCAATCATTGCACTCTGTTCTCCAAAACTCCGTTTTTCCTTATTGTATTAGCTCACATCCACAACCAGGAGGCTTGAGAAGCGTGATACAATACAATAACATATACAAATACGTGTATTATATATACCTTCCCAACAACTTTTAGAGGTATGGATTATTGCCCGTGATGCTGGGAAAGATTGAAGGCAAAAGGAGAAGGGGGCAGCAGAGGATGAGATGGTTAGATTCATGTTCATTCACGTTCATAGATTAACCACCGACCCAATGAAACATGAACCTGAGCAAACTCTGGGAGATAGTAAAAGACAGAGGAGCCTGGCGTGCTACAATCCATGAGGTTGCAAAGAGTCAGAAATGACTTAGCAATTGAACAACAACAAAATGTATCGTCCCTGTTTTATTGTTCCAGTTGAACTGGAACCTGTCCAGACAATTTTTTAAGAGTATGATAAACATTGTGGAGGTGGCCTATGTTCATCCTTTATTCTTTTGCTGTGTGAACTAATTTTTTTATTTGTTCTATCCATAGGGGATGTTCCACCTGGAATTAGAAATATTATCTGCCTTATGCAACATGGAACCTGCAGACTTTTTTTCTGCCGTTCTGGTGAGAAAAAATCTGAAATCTGCTCCGACCCCTGGAATAGGTGCTGCATACCACATTCAGAGGAAGAAAAAAAATACAGACCAGAGATGGATGGCGATCAGACACCTAGAACGTAAGCTTCCAGAAAGCAGGCGGGATCTTGAAGTATGCTAAGGGTTTAGAAGAATGTGTGACTTACAGCAGGTGCTCAACAAACATTTGTTGAATGAATCCAGCATCAAGGGTGAAGGTCTGATAAAGATTTTTCCCAAAAGTTTGCCTACTTTCTTTTTTTTTTCTTTAAAGACTCTTAGAATTTCATAATATTCACCTCCTTTCCAGAGACTGCCCACAGTTAGGGGTAGACCAGAAACCAAAGTGCAAATCCAGCTCATCTTCAGAGAGTCAGAAATGCAGCCAGTCTACTGGCCTCTTTTCCACCGAATGACATCTTTCTTCTCATCAAACCCGAGCCCAGCCTCATTGTACTGATTCCCAGACTATTGTGTGCCCGATCTCCTTTCCACAGCCTCCTCAAGTCACAATAACAATAGGTCACATGTAAATAGGATTTAAAGTTTTTTCAAACAATCTGAGGTTATCTCGGTTGATCAATGCAGTCTTATGGGGTATATGATAAGGTTGAGGCAGTTCCATTTTCGGGATGGGAAGAAGATGGAAATCAGAAGGTTAAACGAACATCCCACTGATATTACCAAACCAGTGCTCGTTGTTCTGTGTTCTTTCTAAAGAGCATATTTCTGAGTAAACAAAGCAAGGTAGGACTTGACGTTCACAACCCACTCTCCTTTGTTTTTCTCTGAATCTGCTGAAACTTGTCACCCATCCCATATCTTTGAGCAGTCATCCGAAGGGCAGTAAATATTAATTACAGGTAAGAAATGCAAAAAAGTAATGAAAGCAAGTGTCCTGATGTACCAGACCATGTGCCAAATTTTTTCTAGGCCAGTTAGAGAGCCTGATAAGGTACCTTCTTTCCATATTTGTGTTCACTGCCTGAATCCAGTTTGCTCTCCCATAAGCTGAATTTACGCTAAGAGTCACAAGGAAGATCTGCCTCTGGGTTCCTGTCTTGACTCCCAGCTCAGGCGTCCATCCACACTCGGCACAATGCCTTGGCTTCTCCCCAGCCCTCCTGCACTCACTCTTGGTCGATTCCTAAATACCATCGGACAGGCTCGTGGGGGTGTGAGGAGTGGAGCCTGTCTTAATCGCAGTCATCTCTGCGGAGCCCTTGGTCATCCCCTCAGAGGACTGAGGGCCAGTTCCATATCTGCAGGGATTGTCTGCTTGGGGAGGGATCTCATTCAGGCTTAGCTCTTACTCCCAAGGGAAAGGACATTCTCCGTGCTTCAGGGCAGGCAGACACATACTCTGCCAAGAGTCCTGCCATTCCATGTCCCACAGCTCTGTCCCCTGGAGATTTCACACACGCACATGCACACGCACGTGCGCGCGCGCACGCACACACACACACACACAAACACACACACACACACACACAGGGATGGGCCCATGTCCAGAATACTGGGGAACTGGGATCTGGTTCTACCTCCTCTCTTGACCTTATTTTCCTCAAAAAAAATGAGGGAGATGGTTTAGACCTCTGAGAGCCCTCACAGCTTCCCACGTGGGTGTAGAATCAGGGCCCCATCAACCATCAGGGATAGCTGGGAGCCGGGCAGGGGGGACACCCAGGATTTGGGCAAGTCTCTTCTCTTGGTGGAAACGGAGTTGGGAGCATGGACCTTCTACTGACCCAGGAGGGGCTGGACTTTTCCCGGTGGTGATCCTGGGCCCTGGACAGCCAGGAGGGGACAGAGGGATTTGGCTGGGACCAACAGGGTCCAGCATTTCTACTTGGGAAGTCTATACACCTTCTCCATGGCTCTTTTTTTCTGAGCTAAATATAATTATCCCCCACCATTCATCTCAAAGATGCAGCTTCCTCCTCTGAGATGGCTAATGAGTAACAGGGCAGGTCCTCCCTAGACTCCAAAGGGCTCCAACGTCCCCGACTCAGGCCCCTCCGGGGCCCTGCCCTGCCCAGCATAGCAGAGTCTATCATTATGGCTCGTGGCCCTCAGGCTCCTTGGTGCTCCCCACCTCCCCTTTTTTTGGCTTCCCTGGTGGTTTAGACAGTAAAGTGGAAGATCCCCTGGAGAAGGAAATGGCAACCCACTCCAGTACTCTTGCCTAGAAAATTCCATGGACGGAGGAGCCTGGTAGGCTACAGTCCATGGGGTCGCAAAGAGTCAGACACGACTGAGCCACTTCACTTCACTTAACTTCCTCCCCTTTTAGGACCTGTCATTGTGCTGTTGTTAATTACTCACATGTCTGCTTATCTCGCTGCACTTGGAAATCCTCAGGACAGGTCTGGGTCTTTCTCCTCTGTGGGACTTTAGTGACCAGCCAAGCACAGTCAATGTGAAACAGATGAAGGAATGAATAATTCAAGCCTCAGACAGATCTTCAGTCCACCACTGCTGCTGTCCTTTCTGACTTGAGGACAGGACATGGGATATCCCCCTGTGGTGATCTCCACATCCCTGTCACAGCCTAACGCCTGCCCCAACCCCTTCTCTCTCACAAACGGCCAGAAAGTAGGACAAAGCTCTCAGCAGCTCTGCCCTGTTGTACTGCCTCACAGCTGAGCACGTGACCCATTCATTTTCAGGGCTCCCGGCTCCCTGCTGTGAGCAGCAGAACTAGAGGAGCGAGGCTGCCAGAAGCCCTGAAGAGTCTCCACCACAAATGTTCACCCGCCACCCCATGCCCTCCAGACACGGAATCTTAGGCCAAAAAGGCCCCAAAAGGTCATTTAACAAAACCACCAGCTCTCCCCTCCCCTACATAGGCAACACAGTATCATGGAAAGACTCTTCACTTGATCTTAGCCAAAAGACTGAGAAGCAATCATGGAAAGATTCTTAAGCAAGGAATCAAAACCCCCGAATTCTAGTCCTGTAACTCATCCCTGTCACGCTCTTCATTTGTAATGTGGTCATATGTTTGTATCTGCTGATCTCAAATGGGTCATTAAACTTTTGTTATTTAATGTTGGAATCTTCTTGATTCAAATAAGACACAGGGAGAGTGATTTGAGATTGTTTTTCGATGTGGAAATAGTACACATTGTATTTGAATTCCTGTAGGTGGAGCAGTTTAGTAATGAAAATACAGACATTCATATACATGGACACATTTACACAAGCTCTTTCTCTGTACAGTTATAACATGAGAGGGTGTTTGAACCCTTCATGGGTGAAACAGTCCCTCAGCTGAATGTTGATCGTCTTTGTCATGTTCATCTGGACTCTTCAGACGAAGGCACTTGCTCTCCCCGCATCTTGGGGTCTTTGAAGACAGAGCTGAGAGGGGCTTCCCCGGGGGCTCAGTGGTAAAGAATCTGCCTGCCAAGCAGGAGACACAAGAGATGTGAATTTGATCCCTGGGTCAGGAAGATCCACCTCCCTCCCCACAGGGAGGAAATGGCAACTCAGTCTAGTATTCTTGCTGGGATAATCCCGTGGACAGAGAAGCCTGGTGTGCTACAGTCCCTGGGTTCAGACACAACTCAGTGACTAAACAACAACAAACTACAGAGAAAAGTGAGAAGCTTGCCCCCTCACCTGCCTCTGAAGATGACCTTTGCCACCAGATCCCACCTGTGAAACTCTGTGCTGGGGAGGTGAGTGTGCTCATCTCATGAAAAATCTCTCAGGCCAGATGCCACCTGCTTGTTTCCCACAGCAATTCTGTGCTGTCTGAAAAATCACGCTGTCCTTGGTGATGCAGCAATAAAAGACTCATGAAATTTTAACACCACCACCAACAACAAAAAAGAAAACCGTTCAAACTAGCTCTTGTGTGAGGCCACGGGCCGTACATGCTCACAGTCATGTTGCGCTAGCTCAGCCTGTTAAGCTCCCTCTTCCGGAACCGCCCGCAGATTCCTCCTCCATGAAGCGCCAATAGTGCCATCTTCTCAGAAGATGCACGGTCATGTACGTAAAAGCCAGGAAAACCCAGGCCCCTAGAAGCTCAGAAATCCACCGTGGTCCCGGGCTCCATCTGTTACTTGGGGGTGAAGTAAGGAGCTTCCAAACTCAGGAGTCTGCAGCCTGTCTCTGTGTCTGAGGACAAGAGTGAGGCACCAGGCCTTGTCTTCAACGAGAGCTGTTAACCTCCCTGAGGTCAAGGCCCAGGACTCCAAGTTTCTCCTCAGGGAATGCTCTCTCTCTGTCTGGAATGTGGTGTTGCTCATCTGACATCTCTCCTCAGACCACTCTTTCTCCGTACAAACGAGCCCACCTCCCCCGGCCCCCAGCAGTGAGATATATCCTCCCGAATATGCCTGTCTGTCCGACATGAAGTGGATCATGTGACCCGTCTCCTCTGAGGGCGCCTTCTCTCTTTCTGAGGAGGAGGGCCATCCTTTCCTCTCACAGGTTTTTAGGCGTCTGTGGGTTCATGTGGTGAAATGATGTTTATCAGGGTTCACTGCAACTTCTGTGTTCCACTCACTCTGAGCCTTACCGGTTGGGTGGCTGCGGTGGTGCCAGCGGTCATGTGACTGCAGGGAAATGTAGTGACTGCTGGAGGGGGCTCCTGGGAACCCGAGCTCTCTACCTGAGGCCGTGGTTCTCAGTCTGGATACACAACAGTTTCACTCAGGTGCCATTACAGAGTCAGCTAAGGATCCACCCTAGACAATCCATCAGACCCTATAGGTGGTGCCTTGGGGGCCACATGTAATTCTTAAATGCTGCCAAGCTGTCCCTGAGGACCACAGGGCTAGGGAAGACGATTTCTGAAGGGGGAGGACACCTGCCTGGACTTGGACTGAGAGCTGGTCCAAGCTGGTCTGAGCTCCCCCAGCTTCCTCACAGGAGCAACCCAGTGACAACAACAAGTGAAATGTGTGGCTTTTCCAGTTTCCTGTGGTGCTCACCTAGAACCGCACCACACCTGCAGCAGGCATCATACCTGAACATCTTGTTCCGTGAGTCACCACAGTGCAGCCGTCAGCTGGTCAGGCCGCAGTGGAGCCAGGGAGCCCCAGGCTGGCTCAGCGTGGGAACCCACATCCCCGGAGCCCCGCCGGCCCTCC